TCTTTCTTCTCCTCCAAGAACTCTTTCAGTGTATGTTAAAAGACCTCTGCCTGATACCCTGGAAGAGCCACTGTCAGTCTGAGTAGACAAGGCTGACCTTGATGGACCTGATTCATTCCAAGGCAGAGAGCCAGTTTGGTGTAGTAGTAAAGAGCACCAGACTCTAATCTGGGAGAACTAGGTTCGATTCCCCGCTCCTCCACTTGCAGCTGCTGGAGTGACCTTGGATCAGTTACAAGTTCTCTCAGAGCTGTTCTCTCAAGGGCAGTTCTCGAAAGAGCTCTCTCAGCCCCACCTGCCTCACAGGGTGTCTGTTGTGGGGAGGGGGAGGGGGAGGAGATTGTAAGTAGCCCTTCGGGAAGTGGAGGGCAGGGTATAAATTCAATCTCTTCTTCTTAAACAGTGTTAGGTCCCGGTCACACGTGCCGGAAAACGCGGTGGGGGGGAGGTGTGGCGATTTGCGCCGTTGCAATCAGACACGGCAGCGTTGTTTCCATCAGCGGGTGTTTCCAGCGTGCTCCAACCAGGAAGCAGGGACGTAAGAGGAGCGTGCTGGAGTCCGGCTGCAGCCCGTCAAAACCAGTTGATAGTGGGTTTTCCCGGGTACTTTTAAACTCTGCTTTTTTGGCTGACTGCTACGGGTTGCTGACGGGTGTGGGACGCCGGCCAGATGTGTCCGTTTGACCGCGCCAGTAAAATCCGGCCGGCATTTGTGAGTATCCCGTGGCAAATTCTGCGTGTGATCGGGGCCTTAGGTAGATAAAGCTAGCTTTTTTTTGTTTTAATTTGCTTTTTGACCTTTGGTAATCTGTTGGAGCTGCGGTGGCTCAAGTGGTTAAGACGCTGAACTGCAGGCTGTGGAAGGTCGGTAGTTCAGCAGTTCGAGACCCGAGTGTGCCACATGACGGAGTGAGCTCCCGTCTCTAGTTCCGGCTCCTGCCAACCTAGCAGTTCGAAAGCAAGACATTGCAAGTAGATAAATAGGGACCACTTCGGTGGGAAGGCAACAGCGTTCCATGCGCCTTGGTGTTTAATCATGCCGGCCACATGACCATGGAAACGTCTTCGGACAGCGCTGGCTCTTCGGCTTTGAAACAGAGATGAGCACCGCGACCCTAGAGTCGGATTCGACTGGCTTTCGAGCAAGGGAGACCTTTACCTTTAATCTGTTGGCTGTATTTTCATTAAATTGTCTATCTTTATAATAAACTACCTAAATATATTTTTCCAAATAATGTCAGTCTGGTTGCTTGTGTGCGACTACCTTGGGAGCCCACGGGGTCAGCCCATCGACTTCTTGACAGGCAGGTGATTGTCGGTCACTCTGAGGGAAAGGCAGGGTATAAATCCAATCTCCTCCACTTCTTCTCTTCCTGTTCTGTGTTCAAGGAACGCCAGGCGGTGTGCATGGTACTCTTGTCCTCCATTTTACCCTCACAAACCCTGTGAGGTAGGCTAGATTGAAAGAAAATGACTGGTCTGAGGCCACCCAGTAAGTTTCAGGGCAAGTGAGGACTTCAACCCGGGTCTTGCTCCCTGATCATAGTCTAACAGCTTAACTACTGTACCACATTTGTCTGATCCAATATGGCTTCTCTTATATTCTTATGTCTAGGGCAGTGGTGCTCTGTCTTCTTGGTGCTTGGGGTGGGACAAGAGTGGGAGGGCTTCTGGAGTTCAGGCCCCACTGGTGGACCTCCTGATGGCATCTGGGTTTTGGCCACTGTGTGACACAGAGTGTTGGACTGGAGGGGCCGTTGGCCTACTCCAACATGGCTTCTCTTATGTCTGTGGCAGTGATGCTCTGTCTTCTTGGTGCTTGGGGGGGCAAGAGTGGGAGGGCTTCTGGAGTTCTGGCCCCACTGGTGGTTTTCTTGATGGCACCTGGGTTTTGGACACTGTGTGACACAGAGTGTTGGACTGGATGGGCCATTGGCCTGATCCAACGTGGCTTCTCTTACGTTCTTATAAGGTGATTGGAGAAACATATGGAATAGAGGTCCATCCGTGGGTATGAGTCGCAAGGTCTAGATGGAACACTCTCTCTGGGGCAATGATGCTCTGGATTCTTGGTGCTTGGGGGGCAATAGTGGGAGGGCTTGTGAAGTTCTGGCCCCACTGGTGGACCTCCTGATGGCACCTGGGTTTGGGCCAGGGTGTGACACAGAGTGTTGGATGGAATGGGCCATTGGCTTGATCCAACATGGCTTCTGTTGCATTCTTATGTCTGGGGCAGTGATGCTCTGTCTTCTTGGTGCTTGGGGATGCAACAGTGGGAGGGCTTCTGGAGTCCTGGCCCTGCTGGTGGACCTCCTCCTGATGGCACCTGGGTTTTGGCTACTGTGTGACACAGAGTGTCGGACTAGGTGGGCCATTGGCCTGATCCAACATGGCTTCTCTTAGGTTCCTATGTCTGGGGCAGCGATGTTCTGTCTTCTTGGCGCTTGGGGGGCCACAGTGGGAGGGCTTCTGGAGTTCTGGCCCTGCTGGTGGACCTCCTGAGGGCACCTGGTATTTTTGTCCACTGTGTGACAGCGTGTTGGACTGGATGGGCCATTGGTCTGATCCAACATGGCTTCTCTTATGGCTGGGGCAGTGATGCTCTGTCTTCTTGGTGCTTGGGGGGGGCAACAGTGGGAGGGCTTCTAGAGTTCTGGCTCTGCTGTTGGACCTCCTGATGGCCCCTGGGTTTTGTCCACTGTGTGACACAGAGTGTTGGACCGGATGGGCCACTCGCCTGATCCAGCATGGCTTCTCTTATGTTCTTGTGTGGGGTTTAGGAAGGGGAAGGACCTCTACAGGGAGCCCATCCTCCAGGGCAGCCATTTTATCCGGGGGAACTGATCTCTGTAGCCTGGAGATCAGTTCTAATAGCGTGAGATCTCCAGGGGCCACGTGGCGGTTAGCAACCCAAAGTGACCCCCATCTCTGCTTTTATTCCAAAGTGCACAAAAGAGGTCAGGGAAGGATCTGCCAGGGCATTTGCTGCTTTGGTTGCTAGGAGCAGCGGGGGCTTCTGGGAGATGTGGAGTTTGGCTGTGGCTGCCATTTTGAGTCTCCCTTCCCTTCCTTTCTTCTCTCCCCCTCCCCTCCCCCCAAGCTTAGCCCAGGTCCTTCCTGGTGACAGAACAACAAAGCCGACATTGCGTCTCCGTCCCCCGGTCGCCAGGGTTACCTGCGTCTGTCTCGTCGAGCACAGGAAATTAAAAACCCTCTGCAATAGCGAGACACTATCGGCCGCAAATGGCAGTTCATAAGCCGACGCGCTGGGTGTTTGCGCGGGTGGCGTCTGTGTATGTGTCAGAGGAAGCCATAAAAGAAGAGGCGGCTGCACCGTCCGTGAATTTTTATGTTGGCTTTTTAGACACTGAGAGATCAGAAGGGAAAAGGTGGATTTCTGTGGTCCGTCTCCCAGCCCTTTGTCCTTACTCGGATTGGGGTTTTGAAGGGGTCCAGGAAATGAGAAAAATGAAGAGAAGTTCATTCTCTTTTCATCTGGATGCCTTGGGGAAGGGTTGACAACCTCCATGTGGGACTTGGAGATCTCATAAAAACGTCAGAAGAGCCCTGCTGGATCAGACCAGTGAGGGTCCATCTAGTCTAGCATCCTGTATCACACAGTGGCCAACCAGTTCCTCTGGAGGGCCAACAACAGGGCAGAGAGGCCGAGGCCTTCATTAGAACATCTGGAGAGCCCTGCTGGATCAGACCAGGGATTCATCTAGTCCAGCCTCCTGTCTCACACAGTGGCCAGCCAGTTCCTCTGGAGGGCCCGCAACAGGGCAAAGAGGCCGAGGCCTTCATTAGAACATCTGGAGAGCCCTGCTGGATCAGACCAGTGGTCCATGTAGTCCAGCATCCTGTCTCACAGAGTAGCCAACCAGTTCTTCCGAAGGGCCAACAAAAGGGCACAGATGCCGAGGCCTTCCCCTGATGTTGCCTCCTGGCTATGGAATTCAGAGGTTGACTGCCTCTGAACATGGAGGTTCCCCTCCGTCCCCATGGCTAGTAGCCACTGATTGATCTCCCCTCCATGAATCTATGTAATCCCCCATTTAAACCTGTTTATTCCTGTGGCCATCAGTTCAGCTTCTGACAGCGAATTCCACGTTTTAATCGATGTTGTTGTTGTTCAGTCGCACAGTCGAGTCCGACTCTTCGCGACTCCCTGGACCAGCTCCCGCCAGGCCCTCCTGTCTTCCGCTGTCCTCTGAAGTTTGCTCAATTTCATGTTCGTTGCATCTATGACACTGTCTAACCATCTCATCCTTTGCTGTCCCCGTCTTCTTTGACCTGTGATTAAAATCACCATCTCTTGGTATTACAACTGCTCTTCAGGTGACAGAGATCAGTTCCCCTGGAAAAAACGGCCAGTTTGGAGGATGAACTCTATAGGGATTGTCTTTTCCCTGCCCAAACCCTCTCCTTCCCCAGACTCACAACTCCACAGTCTCCAGGTATTTACCTCCCAGAGCTGGCAACTGTACTTGGGGGCAGGGAACTACTAGTGGCCGAAAAACCCTGGGCCTCAAGAAACCGAAGAAGACTTTGAGGCAACGCTCCCTCTGAGCTGTGGAGTCTCAAGAGCAAAAATCCTACTTTGTGAGCTACTGGCATTCAAGTTGTGAGCGAGCGACTGGGCTGCTGCATGAATTAGTTTGCTTGGGAGCCCCATCCTTCCTGAGCTAGGACAAAAATGTGTGAGCCAGAGGCTAAAAAACTGGGAGCCGGCTCACACTGACTCAGCTTAGAGGGAACACTGGTTTGAGGGCACCTTTGAGGGCTCAGTGGGTAGAGCCTCTGCTCGCCATGCGGAAGGTCCCTGGTTCAATCCCCCGGCATCTCCAGTTAGAAGGACCAGGCAGGAGGTGATAAGAAAGACCTCAGCCTGGGACCCTGGAGAGCCGCTGCCAGTCTGAGTAGACAATACCGACGTTGATGGACCAACGCTGACGTTGATGGACCAAGGGTCTTATTTAGTATGTCAGGTTCATCTGTTCATGTGTTCGTCTATTCCTGCTAACGTCACTGGTTTAATTTCAGATGTACTCAACGATGCCATATTTGACGAAGACCACGACGAGATGGTGATCGTGAAGGATATCGACATGTTCTCCATGTGTGAGCATCACTTGGTCCCGTTCGTTGGAAAGGTAATTTTACCACTCCCCCCGCCCCCCCATGTGAACCGTAATGAGTTGGCCAGTGTCTTTTCACCTTTCGTTTGCTGAAGCTGTCAGGGACTGGTTAGCCGATTGCCAGGAATTATTTTGGGGGGCACGATATCATTGGGGGAGGGCGCCTCTAGGTGGGACGGTCACGGGAAAACCTGACGCTGCCTTAGACATCAGTGCCAGTGTTCCCTCTAAGCCGAGTTCCTGTGAGCCAGCTCACAGTTTTTTAGCCTCCAGCTCACACATTCTTTTGTCTTAGCTCAGGAAGGGATGGCTCCAGAGCAAACTGATTTCTGCAGTAGCCAAATGGCTCATTCACAACTTTTAATGCCAGGAGCTCACAAAGTAGGGTTTTTGCTTTGCTTTGACTCCACAGCTTAGAGGGCACATTGGCAGTGACCACTTGTTTGAAGTAGTCAGTTTGGGAAATACATCCTCTATTTTGCTCTTCAGAATAAGGTAACCCTAACATAGAAGGTCACTGGCATCTCCAGTTTAAATATCTGGCAGTAGGTGATGTGAAAGACCTCAGCCTGAGACTCTGGCATGCAGAAAGTCCCGGGTTCAATCCCCGGCACCTCCAGTTGAAAGGACCAGGCAGTAGGTGATGTGAAAGACCTCGGCCTGAGACTCTGGCATGCAGAAAGTCCCGGGTTCAATCCCCGGCATCTCCAGTTGAAAGGACCAGGCAGTAGGTGATGTGAAAGACCTCAGCCTGAGACTCTGGTATGCAGAAGGTCCCTGGTTCAATCCTTGGCCTCCCTAGTTAAAAGGACCAGGCACTAGGTGATGTGAAAGACCTCTGCCTGAGACCCTGGCATGCAGAAAGTCCCGGGTTCAATCCCCGGCACCTCCAGTTGAAAGGACCAGGCAGGAGGTGATGTGAAAGACCTCTGCCTGAGACTCTGGCATACAGAAAGTCCCAGGTTCAATCCCCGGCACCTCCAGTTGAAAGGACCAGGCAGTAGGTGATGTGAAAGACCTCGGCCTGAGACCCTGGAGAGCTGCTTAGGATCTGAGTAGACAAGGTGGACCTTGATAGACTGATGGGTCTGATTTGGTATAAGGCGGCTTCATGTATGTGTTCATGTATGGTTATAGCCTAACTTTATAGGAAACTGGGCCACTGACCCCCTGGCCAATCACAAAAGTGATCCAAAAGATGTATCTCGAAGAACGGCAAGACTCCCTCCCGCTCCCATCTGACATTGCTGAGAGTGGCTAAGTCCGATGGCTTTGAAATTCACGGGTACGATCGAGCGCGAGCTTTTCCTCTTGGCTTGGAAGCAGTGGAAGCGTTTGGAGGACACGTCTAGAAACGGGCGATGGCTTCAAATGTGTGTCACGGCCAAGTGCTGCCGTTTAAGCTGTCCAGGTTGAATGGATTGATCGGTACAGAGATGACGATTTCTCTTGACAGGAGCAACACTGACTTTGCAGGCAGGGGGTCAAAGACTGTTCCTAGCGGAAGGCGGATCTGTGCAGAGTCCTAGTGTCTGAGATGGCCAGTTCTGGTGTCTGGGGGGGGGGGGGGCGTCTGGCCAGGAATTCTCAGGGGGCCCTCATGTCCACTACTGGGACACCCTTCTGGCCCGCCCACCCACATACCCCCACCTGTGTGCACATCAGAACACTCACGAAGCTGCCTTCTACTGAATCAGAGCATCAGTCCATCAAGGTCAGGACTGTCTACTTGGACCGGCAGCGGCTCTCCGGGGTGTCAGGCAGAGGTCTCCCCCATCACCTCCTGCCTGGTCCTTTTAGCTGGAGATGCCGGGGGTTGAACCTGGGACCTTCTGCGTGCCAAGCAGAGGCTCTACCACTGAGCCACGGCCCCTCTTTACAGCTCTCCAGGGTCTCAGGCAGAGGTCTTTCCCATCACCTCCTGCCTGGTCCTTTTAGCTGGAGATGCCGGGGGTTGAACCTGGGACCTTCTGCGTGCCAAGCGGTGGCTCTACCTCTGACCCACGCCAAGCAGAGGCTCTACCACTGAGCCACGGCCCCTCTTTACAGCTCTCCAGGGTCTCAGGCGGAGGTCTTTCCCATCACCTCCTGCCTGGTCCTTTTAGCTGGAGATGCCGGGGGTTGAACCTGGGACCTTCTGCGTGCCAAGCAGAGGCTCTACCACTGAGCCACGGCCCCTCTTTACAGCTCTCCAGGGTCTCAGGCGGAGGTCTTTCCCATCACCTCCTGCCTGGTCCTTTTAGCTGGAGATGCCGGGGGTTGAACCTGGGACCTTCTGCGTGCCAAGAGCTACCCTTCTTTGTTGCTAAGAGCTACCCATGGACCTCTGCTCCCTCTGTTTATCCAATCCTCAACTGAAGTTTCTAGCTGCCATCACTTCCTACAGCACTGAATTCCACATGCTCATTACTCTTTGGGTGAAGACGTACTTCCTTCTATCTGGTCTAAGCCTACGGCTCCTTAGGTTCATGAAGTGCCCACGAGTTCTTGTCTTGTGAGAAAGGGAGAAAAAGACTTCTTTCTCTACCTTCTCTGTCCCATGCATTATTTTGTAAAGCTCTATCATGTCAGTTTGATGTAGTGGTTAGGAGCATAGACTCTAATCTGGGAGAACCAGGCTTGATTCCCCACTCCTCCACTTGCACCTGCTGATGTGACCTTGGGCAAGCCATAGTTCTGGCACAGCTGTCCTTGAAAAAGAGCAGTTTGTGTCAGAGTTCTCTCAGCCCCACCCACCTCACAGGGTGTCTGTTGTGGGGAGGGGAAGGGAAAGGAGATTGTCAGCCGCTCTGAGACTCCAAGTGAAGGGCGCGGGGTATAAATCCAATCTCCTCTTCTTCTTCTTCTTCTCTTCCATGTGCAGCTGCTGGTGTGGCCTTGGGTCAGCCACAAGTTCTTTCAGAGCTGTTCTCTCACGAGCAGTTCTCAAAAGCTCTCTCAGCCCCACCTACCTCACAGGTAGGAGCAGAAGGGAAAGGAGATTGCAAACTGCTCTGAGACTCTGAGTGAAAGGCAGGGTGCAAATTCAATCGCTTTTCTTCACCCCTCAATCATCGTTTCTCCAAGCTGAGGAATCCTAACCTCTTTAAGATGTTCTGAACAACAGCAGTGACAAAGTTTGAGTTCAGTGGCACCTTTAAGGCCAACCCAGTTTTATTCTGGGTGTCAGCTTTCGAGTGCAGGCACACTTCTTCAGATGCACCAAGCATTGAATGTTGCATTTTGTAAACAGGAAATGGTGCTGCGGTGGCTCAAGTGGTTAAGACGCTGAACTGCAGGCTGTGGAAGGTCGGTAGTTCAGCAGTTCGAGACCCGAATGTGCCGCATGACGGAGTGAGCTTCCGTCTCTAGTTCCAGCTCCTGCCAACCTAGAAGTTCGAAAGCAAGAAATTGCAAGTAGATAAATAGGGACCACTTCGGTGGGAAGGTAACAGCGTTCCGTGCGCCTTGGTGTTTAGTCATGGCGGCCACATGACCACGGAAAAGTCTTCGGACAGCGCTGGCTCTTCGGCTTTGAAACGGAGATGAGCACCGCAACCCTAGAGTCGGATTCGACTGGCTTTCGAGCAAGGGAGACCTTTACCTTTACTTTAAGACAGGAAATATCAGTCTGTACCTGTGCCTGTTTCTTTGTGAGGGTGATGGATTTCCATGGCATGTGGCTTCATGTGATGACTCCCATGAAGATAGACCCAGGTGGGTGCAGCCGTGTTGCTCTGAAGCAGCAGAACCAAGTTTGAGTCCAGGGGCACCTCTAAGACCAACAGAGTTTCATTCTGGATATAAGCTTTTGTGAGCTTGCACACTTCTTCAGATACATTGAAGCAGAAGTCACCAACCATGACATGTTGCGTTATACGTTATGTACAGTCTGCTTAACTTTATGCGGCTTCAAAGGTTCAGGTTATCCGAGAATGCCATCGATTCAGGAAAACGAAATAAAAAGTGGTGGCAAGGAAGGATGGACAAGGCACAAAAATAGACAAAGTGCAGCACAGTTAAGCTCATTATAGAGCAGAAGTGTCAAACATGTGGCCCGGGGGCCGGATCAGGCCCCCGGAGGGCTTCTGTCAGGACTACAGTGGAACTGGCTGTCTTCTGCTGCTTCTTCCAGTTCTGCTGCTGCTGGTTTGCAGCTTACAGAGACACACCTGAACAGCATACTCAAGACTGCAACGGCGGCACAGACATTTTGATGCAATCATTCAGAGCAAGAGGTGTCAGTTGTCAGACACTGTTAGATAAAGAAAATATTGCAAGGGTGCTGATGTTTTAAGCATGGTTTTATTTTAAGTTAAAAAAAACCCACCTTTGTGTTTGTGTCCTTTATAAAGTTTATATTTCCGCCACCTGGCATAACATTTTATGACACACGTGGCCTGGCTCAACAAGGTCTCGTTTATGTCAGATCCAGCCCTCATAACAAATGAGTTCGACACCCCTGGGGTAGAGGGTGACTGTGTTAGTCCGCAGTAGAAGATCCAGGTTGCACTTTGGGGCTCCTGGGGAAAAATTGAAACAGAAATTTGGACACGGGAAGGTAAAGACCGAGAGTCTGATGTTCACTAGCGGCTCTTGAAAACACAATTTCCGGAGACCTTTCCCCACCAAGCTTTCTCTCCCCCCCCCCCCCCCCCCGCATTGGCTGGGTCTCCGTTGTAATCGGTTCTGACATTTCCTTTCAAAGCTCTTCTGTAGCAGTGCCGGCGGCGTGCCTCAAAAGCGTTAAACCGGATCGCCCTGGACGTAAGCTCTGCTCTCTTCCAGGTCACGCGAACCATCCGAAAAGACCACCGGCGCATGTGTAACGCCGACGCTGCTGCACGCTGACTTCTGTCTTTTCTTCCCTGGCGTATGCTTCCCCTCGCCTCTTTTTGATGAGACCCTTTTCGAAAGGGCATGCTCTAAACTGCAAAATGCTGGACGTTTAATGGATGCTGTGGTTCTGGCCTCCTATCTGTCGCTTGCATTCCTCCTGAGCCTCCTAATAGGTTTTGGGGAGAGGGAAAGAGAAA